TTAGTTTAAATTATATGTAAATATTGTATATATATATATATAATATGACTTACCATCTAAAATAAATTACAAATTACAAAATAATTTTTTAAATAAAGAATTTAGTTAGTTTAAATTAAATAAATAATAGAAATATAAATGTAACTTACACCCTATATATTATTAATTTTAATTAGTTAGATATGACATAATATAAAATATTTACTGTAAATTAAATATATTACTTACAGTCTAGTTATATTTTAAGAATATAATTAGTTAAGTTATATAAGATATTAAGCAAATAAAATAATATATATTGTAGCTTACCATCTGTAATATAATCAATTATTAAATAGTTGTTTAAGATTTTAGTTATTCAAATATTATGCAAAATAAATAAAGTAAAAAACTAAAGATTTAAATAACTGATACCTTACCAACTATAGTATTATTAATTATTAAATAAATTATTTAATGTGATTTTTGTATTATATAGAAAATTATATTTGTATATTATTACATAAGATATAATTATAGATGGTATTTAAATGCATTTACAAATAAAGATTTAATATTTCAACTTTGTTTAATATACCTTTTTTAGATTCCTTAGTACTACTTTCTTCAAATTTCTCTTTGAATTCTTTAATACTACTTTTTATTTTATTGAGAATTTGTTTAAAAATATTACCTTTATTATTATTATAAGCCATTATTATATAATTATATTAAAATTCTCTGATTTCTCTCTGACTGGAAAAGATAATGTAAAATTATTATTAAATGCTTTTATTTGTATGGATATACAGTATATGGTAATATTATTTATCATATGGGCCGATTTGACGCATCATACCAAATAGTAACTAATTCCCATTTACTATGAAATTATCACATGCAATGCGTCAAATCAGCCCATACGTGCAAAATACATGCAAAAATGTTGATCACAATTACATCATGTACAGTATATACAGTACAACAAACAAATTTGCACATCAAATGTATGTCGATCATCAAGCCTTATAGGACCCAGAAATATATATATAGGGGTCAAGTGGTGAAAAAATTTTTTACTATGGGCTGTACACATTTTTTCAGGCCGGAATTATGATAATGTCGGTCGGTTACTATAATAGGAAATAAAATTCTGACTGGCATTATCAAAATTTATAACAAAATAAAAAGAAAAGAAAATTGATTTCATATTCTTTCATATCAATTTTTTATATATAAAAAAATACTGAAATTATTGTATAAAGATGAGATCCCATAACAAATATTATCAATATTGCTAATGATCGTATTTATTGTATTTTAATGTTCTTACTGCGCTTTATACAATATTTTGTAACAAAAATACTGTAATATCAGGAAACGGAAACCAAAGGTTATCGTTATGACATTACGTACCGGACGAACATCCACAGAACTAACATTTCGGACTAAATTAACATGTTCAAATTTATTTCTTTGGCAGGTTAAGTTTGTGGTAAGTTTTTACCTTCTTCTCATAAGATGATAAAATTTACAATAAAATTTCTCTATTCAATATTCTCTTTCATTTAATGGCAAAAAATATTTTTTTTAAAAATTTTTTTTTTCCAAACAGTTGATCAGGTTGATCAGCTAACTTGGTGCAACTCTAATAATTTGCTTTCATTTTAGTCGGATAACTAGTTTTCGATTCTAGTAGATATACTTAAGCAAATGTTAAAAAGCAGGATAGTTATTTATAATGTATAAACTTTTTTTCGCAAGTCTTCCAATATAGTTAAATTTATAAATTATTTGATCGTGATATCGAAAAAATTCAATAACTGAAAAACATATAAATTAAACTTATATATATATATAAACCAAATAGTTTATTTTAACTGAAACTTTTTATATACGTACAGTACTATCACAAAAATAAAGCTCTAACAGAATTTTATATAATTTAATATAATTGGGTTTGCTTTATTATTGACTTAGTAATTCTAATTCCTTTTTCATTAACAATGCTATAATATCTAATTTCAAATGTTTACACAAATATTAGATTTAAACTATTGGGTAAATTTATTTCCATTTTCTATGACTGAATATTAAATTTCGTTTCTATAAACATATTAAAAATGCGAATATTCAAAGTCACGTGAATAACACGACCCAAAAAAAAAGTCAAAAAAAAATAAAATAAAATAAAATAAAATAACTAATGACCTAAACAATTCCGAATAATAAATAATTAATAAATAATTATATTAAAAAAATGGTAAAAATTTTAAAATAATATACAAATCAAATTTACAAAAATTGTTTCTTCAATTTTTCTAATTTACGATCAAAATCAATTTTCACATCATTAATTTCTTCAATCGAATTTTTATCTATAACTCTTTTAATCAACTCCTCAGTATTATCATTCACTGATTTAATAAAATCTTCAATTATCATTTTAACATTATTATCATATGTTAAAAATGAATATTTGTCATAATCAAGTTCTTTAAAAATACCGCTTGTCGTAAATTCTTCAAAAGCTTTATAAATAGCACCTTGTTCATCTTTTCTTGTATTACACCATTCTTCAAAATTTTTAGCTAGACTAAAGTAATATATATGTTTTGGTTCAGGTTCAGGCTCCGAAAAATGATGTAATGCTTCATAATCTGCTATACAATTTGCTTGAAATCTTAATAATTTTTGTTTGCCTCTAGTTCCCGCTGTCACATATACGCCACTAAATAAAGCAAACGAATAAATAAAAAAAAATTTTAAATAAGCTAGAATGTTATTAAGTTCGTTAAAAATACTTACTTCATAAAAGCAATCAAGATATTTTGTAAAATGATTACAAGGAATATACTAGCAATCAAGGTAAATAAGTCAACAGCCCAATAATCAAAATTATCTCTTTGAACCCAATCACCACTAATCCAAAAATATGCGGCTTCCATTGCTGTATAAAAAGTTGAAAATGGATTATCATCACTAGATTTAGGATCAAAATCAGATTTAAGCGTAATATTAAGTGTCTCATTTGTTAATGAATTTGTAGCACTTCCACTATATGTAGAATTTTTAATTGTTATGTTTTTATTAGGATCTCTAAGTAGAATAAACCTATATATATATATATAAATAAGAAAAAATTAATCATAAGAAATCTAAATAAATTAGAAAATAATAAAAAAATATTTAAATACATTGTGTGTGCAAATGCAAGTATCACAAAAAACATAAACCAAAGAAATGGAATTATGGCTTGGAAAATAATTACAACGTAATAAATATAAATTCCAATATCTGATGTATAATGGAAAATAATATAATAATTAATAATTCGTTGTGTATATATTTATTTACAAATAAAAAGTATTCTTTTTACCTGATTTTATACGGAGAAATAAAATCTAAAAAATTAATAAATTGTTTAATTAACTTTACATGGAAAAAAAGTATTCTTTTATAAATAAAAACTTACAAATTGAATCCAAATTAAGAAAATTGAGAATGATATCTCTACAACTAATTTAGAATCAGGTTCTTCAATAATTCCAAAACCATTAGAAAGTTGAAAATCATTAAGCATCATCGACATTACCGTTACAGGAAGTATAATAGAAATCATATCAACAGTGTTAAGTAAGTCAAGAATATATTTTTTAGGTCCACGATAACTAAACTGTTTCACTTCAATAATAAACAGATAAATTGCCAAATAATAGAATACAATAATCAAAACTAATAAAAAATATCCATTTACAATAAAACCACGATCCAAATATGCCAAACTAACTCACATAAAACAAATGCCAAAAATCAGAAAACGAAGGCAGAGAAAATACAAGTAATATTTTGTCTTTTGCCAACGAAAATTGATAACTGCTTCAATTGCTGGATTGTCATAAACATCACCATTATTCTCATAAAGTATCATCCTAGAAAAAGGACTCAACTTATTCGTTTCACTTTGTTTGATTTGACGCGGTTTTGGTATAAGTATAGACGAAAGGGGACTTAAAAATTTTTCAAATAAGTTAAGCTTTTTTTCGTTCTTTTTAATGCTATTTATAGTAAAACCAGGAAATGGAACAATTCGTAAAGCTAATGGTGATTTTTCGAAGTTTCTATATCCTTTGAGTTTATTTATTAAATCTTTAAATTTGTTCCAAATCCAATTATGATCGTACCACTTAAGTTTAGCAGATTCATCAGACTTCAACTTAACTAAAGGTATCAGAGCCCTAAATTTGATGTCACTATTGTAATTTTCTAGGTATCCTTTTGGAATAATTTCGTCAGGATCTTGACCTGAGAGATGACCCTCCGCAAAACATCTGATAAATAACTTCCTGGCAAAATCGTCTAAGTTTCATGTAAAAAAAAAATATATATAAATTTCACAAATTTTGGATGAAAATAAAATTAAAATTAAAAAAGAAAAACGAACCATAATTATATTTAAATAATAAAGGAATTGCCTTAGAAACGGTACACATCCAACCCACACAATTCGTAGGATTTCTTGAGTAATATTCCAAAAGATAAGCAACTTTAATCGCATCTTTAAGCTCACGACCTAAAAATAAAATAATGTTATTTTGATTATAATCAATAATATTGCATCCTGAAGTTAGATTTACCTCTACAATAATAAATTGCTAGTTCCATATTATTTTCTGGGATTTTTAGCTTATGATCTCTTTTGCCGCCAAAGTTAAAATCATCATCCTTTAAAAACTTTTTTCCTGGCCATGATTTATTACTTGGTACATGTCTGTAATCAATTTTATCTTTGGCGGTTTCTTCATATCCAAATAATATAAATTTTATTAAACGATCACAATCAGCCAGTATTAAACTTTTCATAAGATTATATCGAATATCTAATAATCTGAAATTTTCTGGTTCATATTTAGCAAATCTCCAGATTATATGTTCGATATAGTTAGATACTTATTAATAAGAAGCGTTAATGAGTGTTAATAATATTATTTCCAAAAAAAAAAATAAATAAAGAAACTTTAATTAAATTCTTTCATGTTTAACTTACTTTATAATTATCCGCATCGCTTTTACTTTTATAACGTTTTCTTGTATGTTCTAATGCTTTGCAAGCGTGTCTTGCTACATGAGATTTTTTAATAACATCTTTTCCTTGAATCACTTTTTCTCGTATTTTTACATTTACACAATTATTTATTATTTCTTGTCTTTTTTTCTCTTTTTCCGCTTCGTCTATGTTTTTGTTTTCATTAATATTTTTTATCTTATCTTCTATTTCTTTTATTTCTTTTATTTCATTTATTTCATCGTTTTCTTTCTTTATTATTTCGTGCTCTGTCATTTTTGTATGTTCATCCGGTTTTGAACTATCATTTCTTTCAAACCAATAAACCTTTAAATAAAAATCATATTCTTTACTTTTTGATCCATAATTTGGTCCATATTCAAACTTTTCAATTCTTAATCTCGTTATATTTCCTTCTTGTTTTACCGGAATACGATTTGACCATATATATTCAAGAAATGCTTCCCCTTTGTTAGGAAGCTCATCTTTGTTTTCACTATCATCATTTATTTGATGCCAAATTTGAACAGTTGATCTACCAACAATAAGCTGTAAAGTTTCTGTTTTTGTTCCTTCTTCATTATAATAAAGACAATAAGAAGTCCTTTCACTACCACCCGGTAACCATGGTTCTCTGTCATTAACTATTTGCTTGAAATTTACTTTTTCATCGTAATGTATAGTATGATTTTTATCTTCTTTTTCATTTAACTTCCAAAAATTTTTTTTAAATTTGGAACTTTTAGAACTGCAGTTTTATCTAATTTTTTCTTATTGATTTCTTTTTCAACTTTTTTAAGGACTGATGAAACTTTCCCATCATCATTGATTTGTAAAATATTTCCTGAAGTTATGGCTAAACGAGAGTAAATATCTTCTATATTAGTTTTAGTAATTGGAAAGTCGTCTAATTCCACTAATTCATGTTTGCCGGTATTGTACAGATCCCAAATTATAAACTTCAGCACTTGATCTTTGCCTTCTTCCAGATCTTCTCCTACTATTAGACCCTCGCCTTTTTGATCTTTGCCTTTTTTTAGACCTTTGTCTTTTCGGCCTACACCTATTATAAGTAATTTTTCATCGCTATCAATAAATTCCAACAAGTAAATTCTTTCTAGTTCTTCAAATTTTTTTGATGCGATTTGCAAGCCATTTTCTATATGAAATAATCTAATAAATTTAAAATTAATGATGTGAAATTACGCACGAATCAAAAATTATTATTAATAACTTTTAACATAACAACTTACTTAACAATATTAACTTGAGTAAAGCAAAGTTGCAACCTACTAACTGAAAAAAAATAATCATTATATTCATTTACGATATTTTCAACAAGTCTTGCACCAATTTCATGTTCCATTTTTGCCAGATCATAAACTAAAAAATATTATATCATATTATAAATATATTCAACATTATTATGACGAGATAAATAAGCAATTACAATTACCTTCAAGCGATTGCACGCTATCTTTATATCGTGTAACCAAAAATATTTATCGTAAATACACGAAAGAAGTCTATTCGTACAATCAGCAAATTCAGCAAATGTGAGCCAATTATCTAATACAAATCTAATATTTTATGGATTCAAACTTTTCATTCAAGTTCAAAAAATCAAAATCATCATTAAATTTAATATTATATATTCCACGGAAATTCAATATTATAAATCTTCTTAGTTCAGAATTATGTGAATTGTATTCACTTGAATTATCTTTACTTGAATCATCATCATTTGAAGCTTCAATGAATTTACATATTCCTGAACTTTTGTTATAAGAATAACATGTCACAGCGCTAAGAACATAATTTTCTTTTTCATTTTCCTCATTTTCCTTCTCTTCATTTACATCCTCTCCATTTTCATTCTTTTCTTTTTGACATTTATTTAATTCAATACGATAAATAGCGATTCCTTTTTTACTTTCATCTGTTGTGTTACCAATTTCGGTAATATATTCGTTAGGTGGTGGTATATCCACTATATTTCATGTTCATCAGATGGTGGTATATTTACGTTAGGTGGTGGAGGACATTTAAATATCTTTTTGCTAAATTGTTCTCTTTCATAATCGGATTTTCCATTATCATCCTTTTTCTGCTCATCGTTTCCTTTCATATCCTCATCAATGTTTATGCGGGATACGGCGACAAAAATAAAATATTTGTCATTATTCTTGTGCATATTTGATATATCAAAAGACCATCTAAAATTAGGTTTTTTTGTTCCATTTTCATCATTGTCTGAAAAGCCAACGTTGTTGCCATCAAAATGGAGGAGAGTCATGGTCGTAGAGCTTGTCAATACTAAAATCATCTTTTATTTTAAAATAAGCGATTGTTTTATCAATTTTTTACGGATTCTTCAAATTCATTTTCATTTCTGAAATTCTTTTTCTTATTGAACATGAATGGAAGATAATCAGTATTCTGCAATATTTTGATCCGAAGGTTTACTATTTAATTTTTTTTTAAAGAAAAAAAAAGATAAAAAAACTTATCGATATATGTTTAAGTCGAATAATTGTTTACTACTAATAAAATTCATGTGTTTTTTTTACCTGTATCGAATGTAGCAGCAAATCTTCCATCTAGACAAAGTTCAATTTGATAAACTTCCTTATTCGTAGTAATATCGTCTTTTTCATAATTTATGTTTATTTCGTCTTTATGCTTAAAAAATATAACTGTATTTTAACTCAAGAAGAGGTGAAGAAAGTAAAATTCGTGAAAGTGCTCAATTTATTTAAAAAAAAATCTACTGCAAACACGGAAGGACTCCGAGCAATATAAATATAATAAATAGGTAACAAGAGAATCGCCTACGCATCTCTTCAAGGCCAGAATTATGTAATGCTGCCTGGCGGTTACTATTGGTATGCGTCAAATCGGCCCATATGTAAACTGTGCACGTTGATGATTAACATCAGAACGAAATTATAATTTATTATTTTTCTTTTGAAAAATCAAAATTGGTTTAACATGACAAATCATTATTGTTATAAATAGAATTTGGTATGTGCCCTTTGATTTTCATATGAACGACGCGGAAAAAAAATTCCTCTTGTACTAAGAAGCAGAAAAATATTTTATTGTTCTTTTTTTACAAATCAATTATCGTTATTGTAACAATGATGATATTTGATGAACAAAAAAAAAAAATCATGAAATAAAAGAAATAAAACAGAATAATTAAAAGATTTGTTTCTAAAATACATAACCTTCAAATTTATTACTTACATAATGTTCCGATGATAGGACGAATTTTTTGAGCGAATGCTTGTTCCTTGTACTGTTTTCATAAATTTTTTCTTTTTTCTTTTTCTTTTTTTTTTAAAAAAAAATTCTTCGCATCCATTTAGAAGAATTTGTGCAGAAGTTTTTTTTTAGTTTTTATTATTTTCGCCAAAATTGTTTAGGCAATTTTTATAAACTCAGCTAATCACTTGCAATTTTTAAAAATTAGTATAAAGGTAATCATGAGTGACACCAGTGGATTACATTATTAATTACTAAAATTTTTTTTTATTGTGACTTCTGATTTGGGATTTTGTATTACTGTAGATATCAAAGATTCCGATTAATTATAAATTGTGATGATCGAATCACAACAAAATAATCGACAATCATGTGATACATTGCCGATCGAAATGCATAATTATAAATAGATTATAATAACAACAAAATAAATAAATTTATGAATTTTCTTAATTACCAACATAATTTCTTCGATTTTTCAATAGAACCAAATAAATATTTAATAATTTATATCATATAATATCTAACACTATTGGTCAGTCTACTGATTTTGACGGACTGATAAATAATTGATATTTTTTTGTGACTGACGCAATAACTATTATATGTATTTATTCTGATCTTTTAACTACTGATTATCATTTCATCGAAGATTTACAAAAAAAAAAAGACATTAATAAAATTTCCTGCTTCTTCGTGAAAAAAAATTAATTTCATTCGGATGAATATTTTTGTTGCATATGCATGCTTGTAATCTGATTTATAATATCCCACTTTTACAGTTTTACTAATTAGATTTTTAAATAAAAAAATTAATAGTCAAAAACTTTCGTGCAGTAAATCGCATAATCCTTTTTATTATGACCCCTGATTCGAAATTTTATGTCATCGCAGCTATTAAAGATTAGACTGGTTTTTTTATATGAAATGTAGTACAAAAATATGAATAAGATTAACTGCTTCGTTCTATTTATTTTTCTTTTTTTTTACTATGTAAAAATTTCGATACATTGTGTAACAGTATGATTAATGTTATCAGTCATTTACACTTTTATACTGTATTGGCTGTATTTAAAAACAAATTTTAGTATTTGAATAAAAATATTTTCGTAAAAGTTTTTATTTTTAACCCAATAGAATTCGGTTAAAAAAATTCGAATATTTCCGAATTACGGTTAATTTTGGCAGAAACGATCAACATTAGGAATTTATGAATAACAGCTAACACTCTAACACTGGTAAACACTGGTATAATGTCAGCCTAATTTCCGTGATCCGCCTGCCGAAACTATTGTATTAAATATCTCTATTGGCGGATTTCATAATTTCTGTTGCCACCTGATAAACTATCACTTGACTAAATAATAAGTTGTAAAATCTACATTTGCATTATTCAACGTAAAAATAGACAGAAAAAATCATTTCGCTAAATCTGTATAGCGTGTTATTAGAAAGTAAGTGTGCTTTGATAAAACAAAAAGTTAAATAAAATTTATATGGTCACAATAGCTATGAATATTCATAAAGTGTTTTAGGTCTCAATGAATATTATTTAAATTTTTTTTAGAAGGGAGCAGTTTTTTCTTTTTCTTTCAGCGTCCTTGGGGTTTTTTTTTTAGCTTCCGCTTTTTTTTATTCCCCCTTTTATTTGGTCATATTCCTAGTCCCAGTTTTTTCCTTTTTTTTTCGTTTTCTTGGTGCGCTGCCTTTTCCTTACTTTGTAATGCTTTATTAATCTGAGGAAAAAGGGCGTATGTCCATGACTCGCGTCCGCGCTTCTTTGACAAACTTTTCTAACGAGGTGGCATCGCCTCGGTTCCGCAAGGTCTGATCGCGATTTGGTTTACAGTTGCGGGAATTGCTGTAACTTTGTTCACTTTAAGTAATAAAAATAAAAAATAAAATTTAAAATTTAAAATTTTTTTTTATGATAATTTTTATAAAATTGTCATAGTTAATTCACTAATTATGCACAATAAAGTACAAATTTTCAAAGTCACGTGAATATCACGGTTTTTAACGACTCCAAAAAATAAATAAATAAATAAATAAAATCTGGATAGAAGCCAGCATGAAACTACTATTAAGTATAATCAATCTATTTTAATAATTAAATATTAAAAAATTAAACAAGTCAAATTTTATCTAATATACGATTCAATCAATTTTCATATCTTCAATTTCTTCAATTAAATCTTTAACTCTTTTAATCAGTATTATCGCTCACACTACATTAATAAAATCTTTAATTATCATTTTAATATTATCATTATATGTTAAAAATGAAGATTTGTCATAATATATTTCTTTAAAATTAATTTTTAGAAAAGGAAATTTACTCTTTTCGTAATAAAAATTTTTTCAGGAAATCGTTCCCTATTTTGATTTATCATTTAAAAAATTATCTTGAAAAATTAATAACTTCATCATAGCTATAAATTTTAATTAATTAAAATGAAATAACTTCATACCTTTCACGTAAATTACTAATATCGTTTTTTGGTAAATCAGAACTTCGATATATTACATAAAGTTTTTCGATGACATTGTATGTGAAAATTACCATTATCAGAATTTGACGTATTCCAATTACTATTTATAACCTATTGTTCGAGTGATATTATATTTTTAGGATTAGAATGAGACGTGGATGATGACTTCAAAGATGCGAAAATTTATAGTGAATTTTTGCATATTTCTAATAATTTCAGTGAAATGATTGGTTTAGAGGGAAAATTTTCTATTTTTCTTCTTTCATTCAATGACAAGTAAATTTTTTAGTTTTTTCAACGAAATACAAAGTAATGAGATGCCCTATATAAAAGATTTATACTGTATCATATTTACGGAATTTATAGCCTTAAAACATGGAAATTATCCAATTTGTTTAGATTTTTAGATAAATGTATAAATGTATATCTCAATTTTTTCTTGGCCTTTGTCAGATAAGCCATAAATTTTACAAAGACTTATCACCTTTCCATTTTCAAGAAGCATACTGTAGAGTAATTCCCAGTTTGCATGGAATCTTTCAAACGGGTTTTCATCCATTACTTCATCATAAGTAGGTACTATCAGTTGCAGTTAGCGTGTCACCAT